GAGAGGAAAGGAAAGGAAATAAAAGAAGGGAAAGGAAAGGAAGAGAAGGGAAATGAAAGAAGGAAGGAAAGGAAATGGAGAAGGGAAGGGAAAGAAGGAAGGGAAAGGAAGGAGGGGGAAGGGAAGGAAATAGAGAAGGGAAGGAAAAGAAATAGAGGGAGGGGAAAGGAAGAATAGATATATATATATATATCTGTTTATTCATAGATCCACTCCAATACATCAAAGAAACTACCAGATTTGAAGACTTTTAAACTGAGCAGACAGTCCCGCTCGCCCCCCATGGAGAGAACCAGCCCCCCTCCCGCCCCCCCTCCCGCACTGGAGCGCCGCTTCCACCGCCCAGAAAGCGGGCGAAGAGGCTTCGGGATCAGCCCCAACCCCGGAACCCCTCGCCCGACCGCCTCCCCTAGTCCCCAAGGGGCTGGTTGCCGCCGAGGCCAGCAGCGCCCTCCGTGACTTCGCCCGGCCCGGCCCGGCCCGGGGTTGGGTGGGCGGAAGCTGAGCCCCCCCCCCCCCCCCCCGCAGGCCGAGCGGGGCTGCGCCCTCCAGACGTTCATGAACTCCCCCTTCTTGCTTTCCCCACGAGGGAGGAAGGCCTGAGGATCTCCCAGCTCCCCTTCGGCTGCGGCCCGGCGCGCTTGGCTCCATGAAAAGCCATCCCGAAAAAAACGCGCCTGGCTTCCCAAAACCCGGGCCAGCCGTGGGTCGTAGAAGCGAAGCCTTTTGAGGTCAGCAGCCCCACCCCCGCCCCACCCAGGCCCCGTAAAAGAGGGTCGAGGAGTGGGGTTGCCGATAGCAGGCCGTCCAGGGAAACACCCCGAAGATGGAAGGGGAAAGAGACTTCTGATTGGGATGAGCGCCTTTTTGTATTGGAGATGGACGTTCAATTCCTTTTCTTCGGGGGGGGGGGGAATAGACCTTTTAGGAGAGCTAAAGTAGAAGAGGAGAGAGAGGGAGGGAGGGAGAGAATGAAAGAGGGAGAAAGAGGGAGAAAGAAAGAATGAAAGGGGGAGAGAGAGAGGGAATGAGAGGGAGAAAGAGAGAGGAGTGAAATGAGAAAGAGGGAGAGAGAATGAAAGAAGGGGAGAATGAAAGAGAGAAAGAAAGAATGAGAGAGGGGGAATGAGAGAGGGAGAATGAAAGAGAGGGAGAGAGAATGAAAGAGGGAAAATGAAAGAGAGGGCAGAAAGAAAGAAAATGAAAGAGAGAAAGAGACAAGGAATGAGACAGAGGAAGAGAGGGAAAGAATGAAAGAGTGCGAGAGAGAAAGAAAGAGAATGAAAGAGGGAGAGGGAAGGAGAGAGGGAGAAAGAGAGGGGGGAAGAAAAGAGGGAGCTAAACTTCTTTAAAAGTCCCAGCAAAGCGAATTTAGAATTAAACTACCAGTTAAACCACCACTGAGCTCACCTACATCTTAAATCTTGTTTCAGAGTTTTATTCCTTCAAACAGATACTAAACGCCAAGACCTGGAGACTTTCTAGCGGTGCCACCTCTGAACGAGACTCCCTCTAAACGGCCGGACTACAGAGTTCATTCATCGTCCCCAGCGCTCTGCTCGTGCCCAGACGCTAAAAACCATGGGTTTTGAATCCCCCCCCCGCCCCCCAGCGCCGCCGGTTTGGGACCGCTTGCTCGGCGCCTGGTTTTGGATCACAATAAACGCGACTTTGCATTTTTTATTATTATTTTTTTACTGGTGCCAATATTATTTTAAAAGTCGAGGTTTCCTTTCTCCCAGGCTGTTGAAATAACTGTTGCAAGAAGCTTACTCAATCACAAAACACAACCCAGTTTAAAAAACAACAACAACACCATATATTCTGATTAGTTCTTTTATAGGAAGCTTGTACCAAACGAACAGGAACAGGCGTAGAGAAAAATCTCAGTTGATTTGAGGAAGCCAAGGAATATTTCTCTTTTCCTTAAGAAAATATTCCCTTGAGAGTTCTCTCTTTCTGTGTGTGTGTGTGAGAGAGAGAGAGAGAGAGAGGGAGGGAAGGAGGGGGAGAGAGAGAGAAAGTCGGAGGTTCATTCATTCATTGGGGGCCCGGCGCTTTTAATCTTTAGATTAGATAGAAATGTTTAGAAAGGGGACTCTGTATAGTTTCTGACTCTGGTAGTTCGATGCTTAATTAAAATCAGCTTTTGTATTCTGAGTTTTATCTGCCCCGCGCCAGACCTTCTCCTCTCTGTAGCTGGACCGTAAATCTTAGATCTGAAAAGGCAGCAGAGTGCTTTAAAAACAGCTACACGTTTTAAAGACTTTACAAAACAGGGGGAGGAGGGGAGGAAGCCAAACAAAAAATTAATTCAGAAAAGTAAACCTTGGGGGATTTTTTCTTCTTTTTTTCTGGGGGAAAGGGAAAGGGGAGGGGAAGGAAAGGAAAGGAAAGGAAAGGAAAGGAAAGGAAAGGAAGAGTTAATAAAGGACTCATGGAGAAAAGGAAGGAAGGAAAGAAGGAAGGAAAGAAAGAAAGAAAGAAAGAAAGAAAGAAAGAAAGAAAGAAAGAAAGAAA